CAAATACAAATAAAACATGATACAGTATTCAGATTGCAAAAATTTACGATCTAAAGGAAGAAAGAAATTGGAGAGAGGCCAGCCGGGCGCGGCCGGGGTTGGAGACACCAGAGGAGCCACCGATACAGATACAGCTGCTTCTCTTGTCTCGGTCCATAGCTGGTGTGGCCCGGCGCCACAGCTCGCCGCAATAACTGCGGGTGTGTGTGTGCCCTTCTCTTCGTTGAATTGCTGGGCGCGGCATTCATGGGCCAATAATATATGGCCTCTCCCGCCAACCGCAATTGCGAGCTGCAGTAATTACCCCCACGTCGTCGTCGACTCATCATCGTCTATAGCTCCGTTTGGAACGCAGGAGTCTCGCAGGGATCCTCACACGAAATGGCCCCGAACCCAGGCCTTGTTTAGTTCCTTTCAAAGTTAAGTTTTTTCACTCTCTCTCCATCACATCAATTTTTGGACGTTTGCATGGAGCATTAAATGTAGGTAAAAAAAATAACTAATTACACAGTTTAGTTGGAAATCACGAGATGAATCTTTTGAGCCTAGTTGGTCCACGATTGGACAAAGTTTATCAAATAAGACGAAAGTGATACTATTCATCGGATTAAAATTTTTCTCAATCTAAACAATTGCCTGCCTGTAACTCGGATCTCGCATTGCCGTCGCAGCAGTAGCCAGTAGGGGTGTCTTCTGGGGCTTGTATTGTCGTCTCTGCCATGTACGTACTGTACTAGGAACTAGGAAGCCACACGTTACACTCTCTCAGATCTCCAGTGGATCTGGCTGTCGGCCTGTGCGGCGTGCAAGCACTAGACAGCACAGCACATGCTGGCATGAGACATGCGAGCCGCCACGAGCGTTAACAGTCTCCGGTGCTGTTACGCTTGAATGTTACTCCTACTACCTCGCTGCACAGATCTGGAGTGAGATGCATGGCCATGGGGTTCTCTGACAGTGAAGTCCGTCGAGTAGCGGCCACACAGCGCATGCACCGATCGTTGTCTGCACACAAGTGCACAATCCGATCCATTCATCCCCGGCTGAAAGTGAAAGCCCATACTTGACAAGTTTTCTGATCATCTGATATGAGCAGACCACCGGATCTGAAGCCTGAAGGCCTGTCGGGTCGATCGTCCTCCACTCCTCATCAACCGTCTGATTGCCTTTTGTCGCCGTCCTGCTTCTAGCAACAAGCAAGTTTTCCTCGGCAGCTCGCTCTCTCACACCAGCACGCCCAACCACCTCTGAAGAAGAAACTGCGGCATTGATCTCGTATCCTCTTTACCACGGGCGGGGCGGGTGTTAGCTGCTGCTGCATGTCTGCGTCTGCGAGCTAGACTGGCAGCTATGGATGGCGCCCAAACACCAAAGGTAGCAACAACAGCGTGCGTCATGAGAGATGGAAAGTGAGATCGATCTCGACCGTCAGTGCAACGCCGTGCTGGATCCATTTCTCAAGGCCGGTGGCCGGACCTCCGTTCTTTCCCCAGCTGATTGCTGCTGCCTGCTGCTGGTGATGGTGAGACACTGTTCGTTCGAGTTTGGTCCGTTTACCTGAGGCCTTGTTTAGTCGCTCCCAACTTCCAACTTTAGCACTATGCAAAAAAAAGATTATCCGTCACATCAAACTGGTGGTATATGTATGAAGTACTAAATATAGACGAAATCAAAAATTAATTGCACAGTTAGGTTGTACTTTACGAGACGAACGTTTTGAGCCTAATTAGTCAACGATTGGACAATTATTACCAAATACAAACGAAATGCTAAAAATAACTAAGGTTGCTGCTAGTCTCTCTCTTTCTTGTTGTGTGCTCTGCAGCTGGGCTTGCAATTGTTGGAGTACCTGCTCTGGGGTGAGATCTGAGGCTCGTTGATCTTCAACTGTTGGAGGCTGAGCTTCGACCGCGGGTTCTTCCACAGCCTAGTCTTCTAGGGCACTGGCGTAAGCGCTACGGGTATTACGCCTGGGTCGTCCCCTTGTCAAAGGCTCTGCCGATTTTCTGGTGGGGGCTGCTCTTTTTCTCGGGATTATGGGTTTTGCTTGGCCAACACGTGGTGGACGTCAATGTTGGAAAGTAGCGCTTTTCCAACAGGTGGTATGGAGGGAGCATTCGTCCGGACGGATGCCCCAGGCGAAAGTAGAAGGAGATAGGTGGGAGCCTTCGCCCGGACGGATGCCTCAGGCGAAGGTAGAAGGAGGTAGGTGGGCCCCAGCACAATTAGGGTTTCATAAATGCATTCAACCCCCTAAACAAGCTTCAACATTCCTCTTTTATAGGGCGTCATTCACTACTTTTTTCTTTTACATTTTTGTCCTACAACTACCACGGTACATTCCCTGAATATCCTCTTATTTAGTGCAGGTGGCCCGGGGCAAACTGGACCTTCCCTTTTTTGCACCGCCTTGTCTCCTTGGGCCTGAATTGCCGGCCCAAGGGGAAGCCCAATCTTGGCCCGAGGTCGCCTCCACATCATTAGCCTTCCTGCTGCGGTAGAGCCAGCTTCCGCCTCCGCCCACGGCACTGCGGCCTCCGCCTTCGCCAAGAGACCTTCGCTCGTGGTACCGCGGCCTCCGCCTTCGTCAGGCTACCTCCGCCCGCCTCCGCCGGCCTTCATCGGGCGACCTCCGGCCTTCGCCTCACGCGGCCATTAGTGTGAAAGTCTTCTTTTGTCTTTCCAGCACCGGTTCGCTTGTTAGTCTCCACTGTGTCTAGACTCTATGACCTCCGCGTTTCGTAGTCATTCCCCGTCATACTCACTGTAGTATGCCACATTGGCGCTGCAAGTACTGCTCTGCAGTGTGCACTGGCCATTCAGGCTGTGTTTAGTCCGCGGAATTTGGTAATTTGGCTACTATAGCACTTTCGTTTTTATTTGGCAATTAGTGTTCAACCATGACTAATTAGGCTCAAAACGTTCGTCTCGCGATTTCCAACCAAACTGTGCAATTAGTTTTTTTTTCATCTACATTTAATGCTCCATACACGTATCGCAAGATTCGATATGATCGCTACTGTATCACTTTTTAGAAAAAAATTTTTTTGAACTAAACACAGCCTCGCAAACTTTGCCCAGAAATCGGAGCAAACACACATGACATCCTGCGCGCCATGACAATGACATGACACCCGACCAAGCCCCAACCTGATGGCAATATACTAGTGGTAGTAGTAGCATCCTGCTCTGTGATCCAGGGACTTAAATAGTGCTCAGTGTTCAATTGAAGGCAGCGCTGGTGCTTCACCAGCTTTCTCCTGCAGCCATTTACTACTGCTCACTCAGCCTCAACGGAACGGACCGGCTGGCCTCACACTGACCACATGAAAAGAACGGAGCGTCCCGTCCCTGCCTCCAAAATGAACACCGTTTTCTTGATGGCCTGTTCGTCTGCTTTACCAACTCGTAGCAGCTGCGATCTGTGTCTTTTTCAGTAGCGTAACGGCCTGCAGATACTAGTATCATGTTGCCTTTTTGTCATGAGCATTTCCTGTGGGTTTTTCTTTCTTCCTTGTCATTTCTTCTCGCGCTGCGTCACTTTCAGCGCGGGGATGCAGGCAGCAGGCCAGCAGCAAGAGTCGTTTGGACGTCTACTGAAGATTGATGCGCCGCTTCTGCACTGCTGGTGCTGGCGAAGCCAGGATCTTGGGATAGGGGGCCAAATGTATGCGCCGTAAGAAAGAATTGCATTGGATCAACATGGTTTTTCACGCGGATTGCATGTCGATCGGGACATGGTTTGATGGTTTTTCATTGTCTGCCATGCATGCGTGTAAATTGTAGCTACAAGGTTGATTGAATTCTACCATTTTTTTCTATATACTTCTTCCACTTTTTTAATTTATTATTTATTTTTACTATATCTTTTCGTAGAGACTGTCACATCTTGATTTCTAGGATCACATAGCAGTTTTTAGCCATGAGAGGAAAAGAAATGATTTTGTAACTTCATTTATAGTAATGCATATGGAATTCAAACTAATATATTTTTGTGAGTTCAATTTTAAATTCAGAATTAATTTAAAGAGAAGAAACAATTTTAAAAATAAGGATTACATAAATTGACATAATTTCCTCAAAATTATTCTTTCAATCGTAATTTGATGTCTGTAACTTTTCTATAAACTTTATTGGTCTTGATAATTTTTGTATCTTTTCTGGAAGACGTGTTTATTAATAAAAAAATAGGAGAAGAGTTTGTGGCTACAACACCGTAGGTATGAAAAAAAAACATTTAAATGTAGATTATATGCGGCATAAATTTTCCTTTGGATTTAGACTATTAGGTCATTGAAAAAACCAATGGTCCTAGGTTAAAAAAAAACCCAATGGTCTTTTTTTTTGCTGATTAATCTGGTAATTTCTAGTACATCTATACCATTAAATTATCATAAAATCCAACTGCATATTTTTTTATTAATCTCGTAATTTCTATGTGCAAACTTGAGGACTCCTTTTTAACACTGCTTTATAGATATCCATGCCATTACTATCCATGCCATTAATCTCGTAATTTCTATGTGCAAACTTGATCTATCTTACTTGCAGACACTTGAATTATCCATGCCATTACAGAATGTGATGCCGATTCTGCAGGCAGATGCTGACGTTATTTGGACAGAAGTATTCATTCTCAAGCTAAGCCAAGCAAATTACTAACAGGCAGCTCTGTACGTCAAGAACAGGCGAACAGCTCACGATTCTTGCTTATACGCTTTTGACTGTGTACAATTGCTGCCATCAGTAATTATAGATAACTGAAAGTCAAACAGAAACAAGTACTCACTGGTGATATATGTACTATTTATATTTTATAACATAGGTGACTCTGCAGACCGGATGCCTTTTATTCTGTCCCGGCTCTCGTCCGAACAATGTATTCTTGAAAATAAGGTTCCTTTTCTTCTCTCGAATTAATCCCGGCAGATTTATACCATTGGAAAATTGGAGTTCTGTAAAACTTCAATGTTACGCTTTTACTTACACCAATGGACCCGTTACTGTACCATTCCATCAGTCACCAGCTCCTGCAAGCCGCGCCTTAGCCTCTCGGCAGCGAGCCTGGTGTCTTCTTCTTTGAGCCCTCCGAAGGAGACGCGGATGTATCCGGGGCCTCCACTGGCGCTGCCAGGGATCACGGCGACACCGTGCTTGTTTGCAAGCCACCTGACAACCTCAAAATCATCCGAGCAGTTGTCCGGCAGTTTGGCCCAGAGGTAGATGGCGCCCTCCCCGCCCTTCACGTTGTCCTCACCGAGTGGGGACAGCGCTTCCACGAGCAGTGCTCGGTTTTTCACCAAGTCTTTCACCCGTTCTTTGATCCACTCGGGGCCAGCCTCCAGTGAGTAGAGCGCCAGGCGCTGCCCGATGATAGAAGCGCAGATAGGTATGTTGTCTTGCACTTTGAGGAGCTGATCATGGAAGCCATCAGCTTCATTTGGAAATGCAATCTGCAGCAGACAGTTCATGTATGACTAACTGGTACAGTGGCAATTAACAGCAGCAGAAAAAAAAAGGTAGTAAAACATAAGAAAATGATAAACGAAGAGTATGATGCACTCACGTATCCTACACGCCACCCCATCATTCCATAAGCCTTTGAGAATGAGAAGATGTTGACAATATGAGTATCTTCTAAGCAATAGTGCTCCATTCCATCATACATAAAGTATCTGCAAAAAGACACAGGAAAATTGACCTAAGCATCAAGTCTTACAAAGCTCAAATACTAAAGATCATAACTAAATTACAATAAGGAGCAGAATTCGTTTGCAGGGAGTAAAAGATAAGCCACTTTCTGTGTTCCACTAAGTTAGACATGTTTGGACTCCATTCTTTATGCTACCACTTCAAATACGGTTGGCTAATCGCAGCTCTCACGACAAAAACTTATATGTTTCTTTAAGCTTAGAGGGAAAAGGTCCTTTATTAATTACTATTAGTTCCTCAACTTGGACCTGAACACCTGATTCTTTCAGGCAAACATAAACCTGGTATAAAGCAGTAAGTGTGATCGGAGGGCTTATTTTTTACATCACCAAGTTTATAGCCTAAAACGTATTTTTAAAGGCTTAGAAGCTGGAATGAGTTTAAATAAGAGAACTTATCGCAAACCAAAAAACCAAGCACAGGATAACTGTAGTCGACATATTCTGACACATCATATCTGTGCAGGACAACAACTTTATGCATCTCTTATGGGCACAATATTCTGATTTTCATTTCCTTGTGGAAACAGCTAAGATGTATTCTAGAAATCCTATCTGTGTACGCCATCAGACTGGCTTTCATCTGGACACAGATTCAAGAGTTGGGAGTAGAGTTCTAATGGCTTATATGATCTGTCCCATAATTCACGGCTGTTCTCAGTTCTCTCTAACAGATATCACAAAATATTATATAATTGCTTGTGAAAAGTTATCACTTTACAGTATTGACTTACTCATAGGTATTGTCAACCACAAGCCACGCACCAGCATTTTTGCACAGATCTGAAATTCTCTGGAATGACAATGCAATATTAGAAAATATTGGATAGTGATTCCAAACACAAGTATTTATGGAGAGATTACCTCAAGCATAGGTCTGGGAATAAAAGCTCCAGAGGGGTTCCCCGGATTCACAACAGTAACAAGTTTAGGGATAGGGTCATTTTCTTTCAGAACCTTCTCCAACCAATCTGCATTTTTAGACATAATTGTAATGTATTCTTCCAAAATAAAATATTATCAAATACAGCCAGCATAATTTCTTTTACTAGATGCGTTGCATTTTACAAAAGCATATTATTCTCATCAGCTAAAAGATATGTAGACTTCAAGGGAAATTTAACATGTACCAATGAAGCAGATACTCCTGAACCAGCACTATGTACAACATATTTCTTACAACAGACTGTTGATATAAGACATCTCACCAATTTTTCCAATGCAACAGAACGAAGAGAGTCATCTTACCAACATCAGGATGAAGTGTCTTGGGATCGCAGTCACCAACTAATATGTCAGTAACACCTGTCATCTGGAATGACATGTAGGCATTGAAATAATATGGTGCAAACATGACAACTGAATCACCAGCATCACAAAGAGTGAGGACCAAGTTCACAAAAGCCTGAAAAAATCAATGTAACAAAAGACCAGATTGTAAGACAAGTTCAAGGTCTAGCAGTGAAACAGGAAAGGAAGAGTGTGCCCCCAAAGAAGTAATAAGTAGAAGTAAATTGGGAAACATAAGGCCCAGTTTGAAAACTTTACAAGGCAAAATAGGAAAGTAAGTTTTTACCTGATTTGCACCAGCAGTGACCATGACTGATGACTTGGTAAGCTTATTCTCTCTGCGTAGCTGCCAAAAATACAGTAGACATCAGGAAAGATATACAAGATGCTTGCAATGCAGTACTAATTTTAACACATTGGTGGTCCAAACAGAAATAAAAATCTTAGCCCAATAGGTGACAAAACGGTGTAACAAATTCTAAAGATAACTGTGCGATGTGGAGCATTTAGGCTAATGGTCTAAATCATCTCAGGATTTCATCTCAACTGTTAGACAAACAATATGGCAGAGAGACTTTGCAACTCTTAGCACCACCATGATTTTCTCTTCTGAATTTCCAGAGGAGTCACAATAATGAATATTGTTCCCATTTCTCCGTTGATGAATAGAGAGTTTTATGACACACTCTGCCTATATTCAGAAAATTAGACGCTTCCCAGGAATGTAACTCTGAGAACAAAAAGATTTTTTGGAACCTTTGTCTTGACAAAATTAATTTCTGAAACATTGCATCGATCACTTTAGATTGCTGATGCGACTGTGAGTTAAGATCAAATATCTCTATTAAAATTTGGTTACTGTGTAGTGGGTTAGAAGCAGGATCCCTAGTCCCCAATGGCATTGGCATGGCAATGTGGTAAGACTCAAGAGCATGGCCTGCTTAGTCAGTGTATGGGCAAAGTATATTATATATTCTATGATAAAAAGAAGTTACCTTTTCGAGAAGTGCTTCTCGAAGCTCAGGAAGTCCATCATCAGAACCATACTTACTGACTGTTGGTTCCCTGATGATTTTTTCGATCTTATCCAGAGCTGACTCAGGAGGTTGCCAGTAAACAACTCCCTGCATTCAGGATTTACAAAAAGTCAAGAACAGAAACTAATTTCTCAGAAATAAATATCATATGGTCGGGTCATGCTAATAGGACACTAACAGACACGCATGTCACTAGTTAGATTACATACGAATGTCCCACTTCGGCAACATAAGAACTATTTTCAGGAATAGCAAGTAAAAACTGTATGTTTTGTTACATGAAACGTAGCAAATGAACTGTACCGAACTAGTACAATTCAACTTGAACAATTGACAGAAACCATCCGGGAGCGAATTGCTATAAGATGATCGACTCCCCTTAATCCGTTCTGCTTCCGTTTCACTTTCGTTTTCGTTCTTGTGCCATTAACCTTAAATCACCGTCACAAAGCATGAAATCATTGTACAGCCAAATCGAGAAAATATTGGTCAGATACCTGCGCAAGCGACATGACATCCTTGGCCCCTCGAAGCAGTTCTTGTATCTGAAAAAGGGACGTCATCAGGAAGAACTCACCAAGGAAGACCAACAAGCTTTCTTCCAAAAAAAAGGAAGACCAACAAGCTCAGAGTCAAGATGCCATTCTGAAGAGGTGGGAGAAATTCGTCACCTTCACCATGACCGGCGCGTCCGTCTCCACTGCCCTCCTCGCCAGCTTAACGAAGGTACCCATGTCTCCGTCTCCTCCTGCTCTCTCTCCCCTGCAGGGTGCAGGCTGCAGCCCTCCTCCCCCTCCTCCAAGAGGAAGCAAGAACTGGAAATTTCGGGGAACAGGCGGAGTCAGAGATCCAAGGATATACCAACCAAAAGAACAGCAGTGAGTCCAAAGACATGTGGAAGAAGATGGGGGTTAAAGAATTCCCCCGAGGCAACAACCTCTGGGGGTCACCCGCTGATCCCGAGCTCACCCACCAACTCCTTCCCCTCTCGGCCTCTCTCTCGTCCCAAGTCTGCTGCCCCGACAAGGCCCAGACAAAGACACATGAAGACAGTGAAAAACTGAAAGATTCGAGGGGGGACTTCTTAGGGGTGTGTTTCTACTTTTTTCATAAACGGATCGAAGAGCTCCACAAAAACCTGGAGTTGACTCTTTGTGCTCTCACAACTCCACCCTTTTTCCTGGAGCAGAGTGCGTGGAGCTGAAACCGTTTGGCTAAAAAACGTGGAGCAAAGCTAAAAAACGTGGAGCGGAGCAGTCCCAAACACGCCCTTACTCTCTTTTTTTTCCCTGATCGGTTTCTGGCTGATAAGTTGTGAGACACATGAAGACAGTGACGGGGGTGTGGGTTAGTTGTGAAAAAAAAAACTGTTGATTGACTGATAAGCCCTGATTAAAATCAACTAAAACTTACTTAGACAAGCGAGAGGAAAACACTTTTCTCCGATCTTTTGGCCGGGAGTGGCGCCGTGGCGTGGATAAGAATTCAGGCTCAGCTGAGTGCGTTTCAGGGGAAGGAAGAGGGGTCAAGAAAGGAGGGAGCTTTTTTCGGGTAAAAAGATTAAAAGAGACAAAAAGATTGTATTTTTTAAATGAAAAAGTAATGTGTCATCAGCGTCCATAGACAGTAAAACACATGCGTATGATAGCAAATATCGAATTATTTTTGTTGACAAATCCAGTGCATGAGCTGCCAAAGGATCCAATGGGTGAGTGAAGACAAGTTTGGCCAGTACTCTTCTGCTTGTTAAGACAAAAGTTGTTTAGCACTACTATGACAGAGAGAAGCACAAATGTGATCAGAACAGTCCCCCTGCTAAAAAAGAAGTCTCTCAGCGTTTCAAATTTCAGAAGGAAAAATTTAAGAAATGTTTCTCCATCAGATTATCTCGACCTACTATGGCTGCGGCAATTTTATTTTTCAAGTCCAAGATAAATGCTAAGACGTTTCTCCTCGACTCAGCATGGCTGTAACAGCCTAATTTCAACTTCAGTAAATCATGAGACATTTCTAGAGCGAATATATACCGTCAGTCTAAGAGCAACGCAAACAAGAGGAGGGCTCGGAGACAGTGACAGGACGGAAAGAGAGAATAATGCTCGGACGGACCTGTTCGGATAGGTAGAGGAGACAGGAGGCCTCCCTGGATTTGGATCGCGTTCGGGCCCAATGCAGAAGCACGAGGCCGGACCGCCGGAGCGCCCGGGCAGCTGGCGTCGGGTCGCGTCGCGCCGCGCCGCGTGCCTCTCCGCGCTCGTGCACGCCGCGATTCTGCTGGATCCGATGGGCGCGCGCCCTCCGGGGGCGAGGAGGTTTTTGTCGACCGGCGTCCGCGGGCACGCGGCCCTTTCCTTGCTGCTGCGTCGGGTCCGCCGTCCCCGTCGCGGCGCGCATGAATTGCGTTGTCGCGGAGGCGCCGTGAACCATGACGGGACGGACCTGAAGGGCATGGTCGCATTTGAGCAAGCGCCATGGTCCGAATCGGCTCCGTTGGACTAGACGGCCGTGCTGCCGATTGTCGTTCACGGCCCCACCGGGTCGGTCACGCGCTAAAATCGTGAATTTCCCACTTCATCAAACATTTTCATTTTTACCATTTGTCCCAAAAATATAAGGCGTTTTGACTTTTATAGGTCTACATCAGTACCGGCCCTAGGAGGAGGGGCATAGGGTGCTACCGCCGAGGGCCTAGGAGGGTGAGGAGCCCAAGTCCAAGTATACAAACTTTTAGGCCTCACAGTTCATTAGACATTAGTAGATTATTAAGAAGAGAGACACAGAATTGGTCAAGTTGTCCAAGAAGACAACATCGGCCTTTCTTTCATAGTTTTCCTTTTCCCGCGGCCCTTGAGCAGAGAGAAGGCAAGGAGCCGCGCTGCACATAGCACATCTGATCGTGAGTTCGCGATGTGCTAATGCACACACACGGAAGCTGGCGAGCCGTGCCGCCGCGAAGAGCTAGACTGCCGGAGACACCGACACGGCGCCTTTCTTTCATAGTTTCTTTTTATTTTTAATCTAAATTAATTATTTGTATAGTATCTAGACTTTTTGTACTTTATACTCATATAGTCATGTTTTTTTCTCTAATTTAGGTATTATAATTTTAGAATGTTACATAAGAAATATTTGTCATGGGGCTAAGAAAAGAAAACAAATATATTGCTTTTTTAATCTACGTGGTTCCTCGACAGCTATTGTATAAATACATTGCTTTTTTAATCTACATTATTTCTCGATAATTATCAGGCATGTTAAATTAAAAAAATATTATTAGATTTGCTTTATTATATAAAATTTTATACATGATCTATAGGTGACGCTCGTCGGAGAGCCCTCGAATCTTCGGACCGACACTATACATAATAAAATGATAAATTTTTGGCTTTTTTTTCGTCCAGCCCTTCAATTTGGCCCAACTCTCTCACTTGCTCGCCCCAGTCCCCTCCACCCATCTGGTCAATTTTTCAGCCCATCAGCCCAAATCGTAAACAGCCCAGTTCAACTCCAGCCATCCGGTCGTGTTACCAGGGCCGGGGCTGGCACGAGCGACGTCCTAGGAAAATCCGGCCGCGACAGGAAACGAGACGAAAATTACCGCAACGAAGGATTCGAACCGTGGCCTCCACCATGCTAATAACAGTTGATAACCACCACACCATGTTAATTCATATGATGTCAAACGAATCTTTTTTAATTTACCCGCTAACACCTTCAAACCTTTACAGTGAATCTCTTTTTTGTTTTTTTTCCTTTCCGATTCCGTTTTTCACTTGGTTGTGTTTTTTATTTTAGTCCATATTTTTTGTTTTCCTATTTTTGCATCATTTTTTTTCTTTTTCAGAACCTTCATTTATTTTATTTCCGTGTTTTCCTCCTACTTTTCTCCCAAAGTTTTAGTCTACTCTGAATTTTCTTTCCATAGTTTTTGTTTTTTCCCTTATTTTTATTTCTAACTTATGCTTCTATTTTCTAATACTAACCCACTTGGTTGTCTTTTTAAACAAGTGTCTCATATTCTTTCAATAAATATTTTTTTACCACTAATATGTTGCATCCATTATATCCTTTGCTTGAGTTACATTCATATGTCCGTGTTTGTCACCTGTTTTTGTCTTTGTATCGGACATGATAGCTTAGTTCTGCTCTCTCTCTTAGGTCCAAAACCCGTTACACCTCTAGAGTCTCATTAGCACGTGCGTTATGGATTGTTGTAGACCTATGACCCTATAAGATCAATAATGATGAGGCGAGCAAAAAAACACATCAAGCATACGGAAAATACGAGGACCTGCTATTCAGAAGACCGACAGTGAAGCAATCGATTGACCCTCACATGATACATCTACTCCTTGCCAAACTGACCTGCACCAACTCTTGCGTCGTCACGGAAACTAATGGCACAATTAGATCTCCTATGCATGCCGCTCTTCTAGATCGTTAAAGGCATCGTAAGGGTTGCACGCTCTCTCAATTGTTATCGTCAGGCCACGCCTATGCCGCCCAAGGAGCCTCATCCGCTTAGCCACCACCAGAGTCACGCCCACACGGGTGCTGTGCCCGCCCTATCGCATCGTTGCGCAGTGCTAGCCCATGTCTTAATGGTTGGCACCGTCGTCCTACATTGCTTGGCCGTGTCCGATGACACTAGGTGTGCTATTATGGCCACTGTGGCTACACACAGCTTCATCATACAACCACACCCGTGACGTCGATAACATAATAAATTATTTTTTCGTGGTAACGCACGGATATTTTTGCTAGAGATCACTAAATTGAAATGGATGAAGTCCAGGACTAGGCTCAAAATTATAATCCATCTGATTGCTAAACGTGTGTAATTAGTTTCGCTGCGCTACATTTAATACCCGATAAATATGTGATGGAGAGAAAATACGCTTTCTATTAGGCCCCAAAATTATAATCCATCTGCTGCCTTCGCTGCGCGTTCCCGATAGCTAACAAAATACGCTTTCTATTAGCCCTAACGTAAAACCGGCCCTCTCTGAAGTCTTGCCTGACCTCGCTGCCGGAGAACACCCTGACTGCGATGGCGGCGGCGGCGGCGGAAGCTCCGAGCGCATCGGCCTCTTCCGCAGATAACGGGATCCTGCGGTCCCTCGCAGACCGGGGGTGGCGCTTCCGTGACTCCACCGACGAGGCCATCCAGACCCTGCTCCGCGCCTCCCCCACTCCGTCACCCGAGGCCGTGGAATCCGAGCTCGTCGACATGGACTTGAGGATGTTCGGCGGCAAGTACCTTCCCGACCGGGCCACCGCCGCCGCCACGTCGAAACGGCTTTCGTACCTCCACGGCCCCGTCGTCTTTCAGGTATCGTGAAAATTGTAAAATCGGTCTTAAGGTTCTGCACCAACTAGTCCGAAACTGAGAAAAATTGCGTTACTTATATAGGGTACTTATTCAATTTGTGGTTCTGTTTGGGTGGACATTGCATTTGTGATCTACAGCCCTACAGGTATTACGGGCAGTGGTTTACTAGGCAATAAGAGGGAAAAAGAGCATTGTCAATGCAGTTCTCTGAACCGAACTTCTGTGAAACATCAGACGATGGAAAAGATGATGATCGTATCTGTTCTGCAATCGTGGATCGAATGTGCATTCTCATGCTACTATAGGAGACAACTGTTTTTTTGTGCCTTGGATGTGTTTGGTTGTTTTATTCCTGTACTTATATTTACTATTTCTATGAACTGTTTTTTTTATACAGGTAGTTTCTGTAAGAGATATATATCACAGCATCATTGATGCCTCATTTAAGAACCCGCAGCAGCGTCGTCTTCTGCGCTTTGGTCTCACTGATGGGATATGTGAAGCAGTAGCCATAGAGTTTTCTCCTATCCCATTCATCACTGAAGAGATAGCTCCAGGTACCAAGGTCAGTTGACCGTGTTCTGCTTCTGCCTCTAATTCCTGTTGTAGAGAGTAACATTTTCTGCACAATCAGTGTACAGAGTTTAAGCTTGCCTGCCTGTCTGGGTATTGTTCATGACTTCTGGTTCAGTTCTGAGTATCAACGCCAGTGTGGCCAGAGACCAGAGAGTAGATTAACATATTTGATTAAGCTCTGAGCGTGTTAGAAATGAATAAGTGAAAAGGAATGTTCAAGTAGCTCTTTGTGTGACACTATTCCATCCGTCAGTATGAAAACAAACTTTGAAAAAGATAAAGTAGACAAACTAGTATTTCTATTTAAGAATAGTGTAAAGAAACTTATTTATGACGATGTATATATGGTGATGTGGCATTAAGATGGGGTTGGGAGATATCATTCTTTGTTCCAATTGGTTGTCTGCCACTCTGCCCCATGATCTACCTGAATTTCCTTACTTTAAAAAAAAAAAATATATATAAATATGAAGGCCTAAACTTTGATTAAAATGATACATTACTATGGTTCTCTGTGATCATTTGAAGACTGTTTTTTACACTTTCTCAAATATACAGTAGTTGAACTGTCTGCAGTTTATTAAATATTAGCATTGACATGCATGTTTCCTCTTTCTTTGTCCCTGTATAGATTCGCCTTGAGAATAAAGTTACAATCAATAATGGCATATTGTGCTTAAGTGCAAAAAATGTGAGTGTCATTGGGGGGACTGTCCAATCATTGTATGAAGAATGGCAGATGAATCAGAAGTACTCCAGCATATCTCGTCCATCCTTGAGGTTGTCTCAAAGTGATGATGGAGCTGGGCCTCCACCATTTGAGAAGTTAGACATTGAAGCACGTCCCTGCAGGGCAACCAAAGTTCAAGCATATCCTGGTAACCACCCTCTCTTGTTTCCACTCATGCTGTTGACTAAAGAGCTGTGGAAGTTATGAGTTGCTTACCTTAAGTAAAATACAGCAACAGCAACAACAAAGCCTTTTAGTCTCAACTCCCAAGCAATTTGGGGTAGGCCGTAGGCTAGATATGAAAGCCGACATGAGGCACCGGCAAAAACGAAAAACTTGTTTGAAGACATCGTTCCGTAAAATATAGCATTAGAAGTCAACGGAAATTTGCATTTGGTTCACGCAGTGAAATCCGCATGGATGTCACTTCAGGATTATTTCCTCATGAAAAGGTGTTATAATGGTGTCATACTCCTCCCTAGAAATATATTGATTTTGTTGAAATTTAATATGAAGTCACTGTTAAGTCCTGTAAATCTGAACAAGCACCATTAATCTGATAACATACTGGCTCCTTGTCATTTTTGAGAAACATGGAGCTCTGCATCTCTTTGGCTGGAAAACCTGGTCCTTAGGTTTCTCACATGCTTGCACTTGTTCTGTATACCTACATTATTCTCATCTGTTAGGCACTATTATTGCATGCTTGCAAAACTTTTAGGCTTCGGTGATTTCTTCGTAACTTGTGATCTGCCTTCCTTTCATAAAGCTAGGAAGTTGGCAGTTACTTGTGACCATGTGCCAGTTAATTCTGGTGGCAAACCAATGACTGAGGATTCGAACGATGTGAACAAAGACAATATTGAAAGCAAGGCTGAATCTAAGCAAATGACTCAAGAGAGCAGACCAAAAGAAGGTCAGACTCCAAAACCTTATCTTCCATACCAATTTGATCATCATAATTTGTCAGGGGCAGTTGGAACTAAGATTTATTTCCTTGCTATGTGTAGTCAGTGAAGCTGTTCCTGTCCAGAACCAAGCTGCTGCACAGAAGCTACTGCAGAAAATGTCGCAGGCTGTGCCTGAAGACAGGCGTGGTCGGGGTCATAGATTCAAGGGCAAAGGTAAGGAAGAAGATGCTCAGGTTTTTACCCTTGATGAATGGGAGAAGAGGAAAGCCATTGGTTCGAAGTCCGCTGCAGAAAGCTATGCGCATGACACTAGCCTAGACGAGGAGTTGGCAAGGCAACTGCAGGAACAACTAGATCTAGAAGACATGCGTGTTAGTCCGATTCTCTGTTGCGATGATGCATCCCTTTCCAGATTTTTTACAACACCAGTGTGGAATGTTGATTTCAGTGTCAATATGATGTTTTTCAGGGTGGGGCAGATGCTTTCAGTGGTGGGACGGAGAGCTCAGATGCTGAACGTTTACGGATGAGCATGTTCAGCTTTAGTGGCCCTGATGAAGCAGGTGGTGGTAGAAGAGATTTTCGAGGCCGGGGCCGGGGCAGGGGAAGGGGCCGAGGGCGAGGAAGGGGCAGGGGAAGATTTTAGTCCGGCGATACAGTTGGAGGTTTATAGGTTTGTTGTGTGTTCAGTGTAGTCAACTAGTTGTAGGGGTAAAAGTGGTACGATGATGACCTTCTCAAATCATGTTCTCATTTTCTCTAGCCTAATGGTGAAGGCTGATGCTAGTCAGATTAAGGAACAATTTGTAGACTTCTCGGAATTTTTGTTCTATTCTTAGATGCAGGAGTACATCGTACATGGTTTGGACAAACGAATTGAAGTGATGAAGTCTGAAATTTACATGACTTCTATCTTCTGTTTACTTGTGCTGTTCATCCATCTGAAACATGTTGCTGTATATTGTATACAATATTTTGTTGCCTCTTATTAATTCTGATTTTTTGCTGGTAAAAATGCAAGTCAATGCATTGTGGGCCCAGCTGTTACAGGAAGAATGACAATGTGCTGCTGAATGAAAAGCAAGGTGTGCCTTGCGGAAGTTACCAAACGGAAATTTCGCAGCCGCCGTCTCCTCCCGGTGCCGCGCCCCGCCGTTCTCGATCGGTCGCCGCTCCCCGCTGCTCTTCCCCGCCCGCGGCCCCCGGTCCCCGCGACGCCCCTCTCCACTGCCTGTCCTGCTGCTCCACGCCGCGGACAGGCCACCTCGCCTCTTCCGCTTGCGGCCGCGCCGGCACTAGGGACGGGACCGGGACATCCTCGGGGAACTTCAAAAGATCTCGATATCAGGTCGCAGCAATGGATCAGGGCGGCGGCGGCAGCATCTGGATCCGTGCGGCAGTGGCGGTGGCGGCGGGAGCCGCCATCGCGGCGCGCGCCGTCCGGCGCAAGTCTGTCGACTCCAGTGCCGTGTTCGTCGGAGTCCCAGCCATGGTGGCTCATACCATCGCCGGCTACAGGTTAGAGAGCCGCCTCTTTTCAAGTCTTCCTTTCTGGCGGAAGGGCTCTCCCGTGAATTCGTGACGAGATCTCGAGTTTGGCACGTGCAGGTTCGCTGGGCTGCTACTGGTGTTCTTCTTCACGTCGTCGCGGGTGACGAGGGTCGGCGAGGCGAGGAAGCGTGTTCTTGATCCCGAGTTTAAGGAGGGCGGGCAGCGTAACTGGTGAGCGAGATCGCTGCCTCTGTTGCTCTTATCTCTATGCCGAGACCCAGTTTATAACCAGGAATAATATGGAAAGTTTTCGAGAAAAGAATAATATGGAATGCTTGTTCTCAATTTTGGGGTATTATGCTTTGGTAATTCTTTGTAAGTCATGAAACTGTGTCTAAATTCCCTTGGTTTTGTATGTTGGGTGAGTGATGTTATAGATCGAGGCACGAGGAGCTTCTGCGAATTGGTGGACTATTGAAATTTTTTATCGTCTACACCGTTAGCTCTCTAGAGACTTTAGCTTTCTAGAGACTTCAGATGATTTCAGTTTTGGTTATTTAGTAGAAAAATAATGAGTTGATTCGGTGGAATAGAGTTTTTCTCTGAGTAGAAATTTTCTGCGAGCTCAGAGAATCTAGTGGGAGTTTTGTTTTGACTACATCGTGTAGTGATCCTATTGTTTTGTGTCTGAGGAGAAACCAAGGGCTTCATATGCATTGATAAAATGACTAGATGCGCTAACCTTTTATAAGTGAAAGATGATGTCCCTCAATTTGAATTCGATTTCCTTTCTTCTGTTAAGGATGCATCATGTCCACTGTCTAATAAAAGGTGTTTTGCATACCTTTCTGTACGCTGGTGTAAATTAATATTTTTGCCTTGGTGCATGCTTACTTTCTTCAGCTCAGGAGCTATGTCATTGATTGTTACATTATATGTTCACTCTTACTCATAGGGTTGCTAGAATACAAAAAATAATAAAGAATGACCAGTTTCTATTTTGATGTAACATTATCCTCCACCCATATTTATCCTTTTTCAGATTTAATGAGTCACTTTTCCCAAAACAAAAGCTCTTGATCTGGATGTCACTGTCGATTGTGGGGCTACGTCTCCCAGTGTGACACTGACGTCGCAATGCACGCCATGAGTCCCAGGACGTGGGCACATCAACTATATATAAGAGTTTGTTTCTTAGAGATAGGGAGAAGGAAACTACATATATGGAACTTGTAATTGATTATCAATCAAGAAGTTAAACCCAAATTCAGTTTAGCCCCACATGACATTGGATGTAAATGAGGTGCAACCATTGTGCCTGTATTTGTATGCTTTTTAATTTTGAAAATATTGACAATTGACATCATTACTTAGCTGGATATGTTTGGATTTCAGAAAGTTCCCTTCTGAATCTCTCTAATGCAGGTGCACCCCACTCTTATTGGCAGGAAGCAAGTTTTGTCAAATAGCGGCATTGCAAGTATCTTGGTTGTTTTGATAGCATCAGTTACTGGAGGGACAGATAGGTGTTTGGATTCAAAAGAGTCAACCCTTGTAACTGCTCTTATTGGTGGTGTTATCGGACATTATGCTTGCTGCAATGGTGATACATGGTCTTCTGAGCTCGGCATTCTTAGTAAAGCTGAGCCACGAATTATCACAACATTCAAAGTAATGTTAAGGCTTTAATTCTTTTTTCTGATTTCACAAATCATTGGCAAACATATAATTTTAATCTTTCACTGTTTCCTTTCAATTTTATCAGAGAGTGTGGAAGGGTACGAATGGTGGTGTAACCATAGATGGGCTTCTCGCAGCAGCAGCAGCTGGATTCTCGATTGGGCTTGCGTTTGTGCTGATAGGATTATTCACCACTCAGTGTGCTTCTGATGTATTCTGGAGCCAGCTGCTAGTTATACCCTTGGCTACAGCTGCTGGCCTATGTGGAAGCCTGATCGATTCGTTCTTGGGTGCAACAGTCCAGTATAGCGGGTTCTGCAGTGTTCGCAACAAGGTATCACAACCTAAACTATTTGAAATCTGCCCGATGTCTACATATCCTTATCTCCTCTGTCTCTGATTTTAAAAACTGATTCTCTGTTGTGTTATGTTTGTTTTGCTTAGGTGGTGGGAGTAGATGGTCCAACCGTAACGAGGATTTCAGGGATGAACATACTGGATAACAACGGGGTCAATGTAGTATCTGTGTTCTTGACAACTGTTCTTACTGCGGTGGCTTGCACATACATTTTCTGAGGTTAGCTATGGCGAGCATTGGTGCTATGGTAGGTCCACATTAGATGACAGAGAGAAACCTGATTGATGAATTAGAACAGCAAATTGTGTAGCAGTGCCATTAATCATTTTCATTCACGTAGCAGTAGATGTAAAATTGTTTTTATTTACGAGTATTTTCAACACCGATGAGATCTTGTGAAATAGAGAAATTTCACGTCTCAAGATGTCTCAAAATCGTTGCTCTATGCCTCGATCACATGTTCTCCCCAATTGCAGGAGACGTGATTCATGTGATGCTTTCTATGTGAGCATATTTATTTTGTGCCTACCGTAGCATATTTATGAATATTTTATTTATGTACTTTTCTGTTAGATAAAAGAAAAAAATGATTGAAAACTCCATAAGGTAAAGATGGCTGGACCCTAATGCCCCCCTCTAATTAAGGAAAAAAAAACTATTTGTACGAAGGCGACATGGTGATAGCTTCAAGTAATTTTATCTCCCATCTTGGTGATGTGCCTATGGCCGAAGCATATGCTCTTAAGGAAGGATTGATGTTAGCAACATGCAGGATGCAACCGGGTGACTGTTCAACCCGATTGCATGGAAGTGGTTGATATTATGGGCAACGGTGGATTCACAGCTAACTCCGCAGCGGCTATATATGATGAATGTAATACAATTTTGTCGGGTATCGATATTAGGGATACCCAAAGCAAGGAAGTTAGCGTCCACGTTGACTTCCCCGGATGGAGCAAGACTATTAAAAGGTCTCGCCCGACCCCAAGGGTGTGGGCTCCGTCTCGCCGACCCCAAGGTCGCGGGCTCCGTCTCGCCCGACCTCAAGGCCACGGGGGTAGGATGCAGTTTCGTCTCGCCCAAGGCCGTCAGGCTCCGTCTCGCCCGACCCTAAGGACACGGTTTTCGTCTCGTCCAAGGCCGCGGGCTCCGTCTCGTCCGACCCCAAGGACGCGGTTTCGTCTCGCCCAAGGCCGCGGGCTCCATCTCGTTCGACCCCAAGGCCGTAGTTTTGTCTCGCTTAAGGCCGCGGGCTCCTTCTCACCCGACCCCTTGGGTGCAAGCTTCGTCTCGCCCGACCCCAAGGACGTGGTTTCCGTCTCGTCTGACGAGGACTTATATCGCCGCCAACCACTCTAGGTCCAAGCGTATGGGCCTGGGTCAAAACTTTGACACCAGGGAAGAAACTGGCACGCCTCGATGTAACCCGTGGCCATGACGAGCCATACCTAAGAATTTATATCAAAAACAGTGTCGAGCGTGCCGGTGCTGTTCTGCCTAACTCTCGTACGAACGCTGATAGGCGCGTCAGTTCACCACGACGTTCGCCGAGACAGAATGAAACGCCATGACCGGCAGATGACGCCTGCGCATGGCGCCAGTGACGAACAGGGCCACAACGTGGAGCCGCCCCTATTGACATCTACAGGATCGGCGGGACCCGCATGAAGGAGAAGGACCCGGTCCTTCTTCTCTCTCGTTCTTCTCATTTTCCTCCGTTGTAACCCGCGCTTTTCCTTCACCTATAAAAGGGAAAGCAGTGCGCCCCATGAAGAGAGAGGGGGGGGGGGGGCAAACGAATCGGAACACAAGAGCACGACACAAGCACACGGCTGAGCGGCGAGCGAGCTCTCAGCACCCGTTCACTCCTTCCATCAGAGACTTGGGATCCTCTCCCTCTCTCGCCTGTTTGTAACCCCTACTGCAAACCAAGTGCCGGTAACACGAGCAGCAGCGAACTGGACGTAGGAACGTTCCGCCCGAACCAGTATAAACACTTGTGTCCTCCGAGCACACCATCCTAGCCAGACGCGCAAATACAAATTTACTCGTCGGTGGTCCGAAAACACCGACAAATCTGGTTAGGATTCTAGGAGATCTCCATTGAGCATTGCAGAAGGGAGACAAAACCAAGTGGCTCATGAATTGGCGAAGCGAGCTATGATTTCTAAAAATTATTGTATTTGGGACGATAATTCCCCTAGCTTTATTGTTGAGTTTCTATCAAATCAAATGATGTAACAATTCTTGATCTATAAAGCTTTACCGCTTGGTTTTGTCAAAAAAAAAACTTATGAATAATAACAAAGGTGCATTATGGCTATGTGAGCATTGAAGATCAGAAAAATAACACAGTATATCTCTACACATCCACCATCACTTTTGAACCTTAAAGCACAGCTGGCACATCACATTTGTGCATCAAGTCAACAACAATCAACAAACACAGATCTTAATTCCATTCCAAGTTCCAGCAGGGTTCCTGAACTAGCTGTTCTCATCGCTGTGAGACCCGCTTGTCAGGAATAACTGATTAGCCGCAGCAGCAGAGGCAGTCGAGGCAGCACTCGCAGGTCTCGTAGCAGCAGCAGCAGAAGCAGCAGCACGCGGTGAAGAGGCTGCCAAAGATGAGGGATGGATGATGAGCAAACAAGAGGTCCGAGGAACCGAGGAGAGTGACAAAGGCAGCCTCTGTCGTGGTGGCGCTTCTGGACGTGCCCGTAGTAGGACATCTCCTGCGTCGCCGGAGGGTTATACATCATCTACCTGTGTTCTACACTTCTACTTCAACCGGAGACGAAAAGTTCACGAGATAGGAAGCTTTGTTTAAGCTGTATGGATGTGTATGGTTTCCTGTCCTATTTCTAGCCTGGTTAGAATCTTAGTCTGGACAGTCTTAGCCTGCTACCACTAAGCCAACACTAACACTTAGTTGTTTGGTTGTCTGTGCTATCTAAGTCTGGCTAGCAAATGATGTGTTTGGTTGCCTGATTTGCTTTGCATATAGTCACCGCTTATTTGACTTGGTAAGTTTACCCCATTCTTCTATTGGGCATCCTTGGAGAGCACGACAGCAGCAGGACGACCTCGCCGCCGAAGTCGTGCGCACACTGCCACGCGAATGGAGATTGTCAGCCATGGAGATGACACCACGGACCCGTTCGCGTGCCCTTAAACCCAGCTTGATCCGCTTCTTTTTTTCATCAAGAACAGTGTTTTTCTCTCACAAATTCCTCTAGAATTCCTCCGAACTATTCAAATTCCTCCAGAACCATACCATCTGAACGGGGCCCACATACCACAGAATCGGTTGGAACATGCCATGCTGTATTTGCCCAGTCATAAAACTAACATGCTGCCAAAGTTCCTCTGCTCCTGCTATTCAAAGGTCTAGTATATAGCAGGTTGATGGAGTTTGAGTTCTGCTTAAAGGAAGTAGCATGTTGATTGGACTGCATTTGGACAGTCACGAAACTGAATGGTCTAGAAGCAGGTTGATGCAGTTCAGTGAGTGCCTCAATCCAGATCAATCTAGTCCATTTGAGCAACGAAATAACAACAAAAATTCATATGATTTAGCACACAAACATATCTGCAATCATCATTATGCAGAGGCATGTGAACCAACCTGACTGCCAGTCGAGAATTTACATCACAGAAATCAGAGTAAAACGTAGACATGACTAAAATTCAGTGGGCAATGAGAGCAGAGAATTAAGGGGACAAGGCAGCGCATGCGCATTGCTACTACCTTGGGCGAGGATAGCGTTATCAGATATTCAGATCCTCCAAGCTCAGCACCTGGGGTTCCTCGTCCTCCTAGATGTTCCACCAAGCACCATCTTCGGCAGCACGGCGCAGCGGCCGTGGACGTGTACCTCCCGAAGTCGCAGTTGGAGAAGAGGAAGGCGGAAGACGAGGCGCGGCACTCGATGCAGACCGCCGCTGCCGCGGTTCCACAGTAGTGGCAGGTCGTTGCCTCCGTGGTTGTCGCTCAGGCATGGCGCCGCGGCGAGCACGCGGGGTCCGTCGAGGCGCTGCGGGAGCAGGCCACCTTCTCGAACGCCCGGCACGCGAACGCGGAGGAGCTGTGCGGCCGAGGGGCTGCGAGGATGCCCAGCACGCGGACGCCATTGACGCCCCTCCCCTGCTCCGCTTGGCCACACTGCGCAGAGTTCCCGTCCACGAGCGCGTTCGACGGAAGGGGACACGGATTCAGATCACGAAACAACATTTACGGGATTGAGGGTGTTGCTTGATTGTGGAGCTCCAGTCCACGAGCGTGGTGAACCTCGAGCCGCACCGCGTGGACCTCCGCTTGGATCTTGCGGGATGAGCGCGGCGCAGCCGACGAGCTCGCCGGGGATGCGGTAGGCCGGCGAGCGGACACGGACGAGCTGCGCGGACGCGGACGTGGACGATCTTGCCGGGGAAACGGGTCGCCGGTGAACGGACGCGGAGGAGCTGCGCGGACGGCGAGGAGCTGGCCGGGGAAACAGGTGACCGGCGGCGGACGCGGAGGAGCTACCGGGAGGCGGGCGGTGATGCGCGCGTGGATAGCGGGAGGTGAGGCGAGCGGATACGCGCGCTGGCTGGGCCTGGCTCCGTGGAAACGGCCGCCCACCTCGTTCCCACCTGGCCCGGCTAAAGTGATCGGTGGTTCGAGCAGGCCTGGTTAACCAGCCCAACCAGACAACCAAACAGCTTGAAACTGGCTTACTGGAGCCTGGACAAGACTTAGGTGATGTTTAAATCTAGAAAAATAAAGTTTAGAACGTCACATCGAGTGTCATATTAGGATGTCCCACGAAGTGTTCAAATAGTAATAATAAATAAATTACAGAAATTCTCGGTAATCCACGACAAGAATTTATTAAGTTTAATTAATCCATTATTAGCGCATGTTTACTGTAGCAACACATTGTCAATTTATGGACTAGTTAGGCTTAAAAATTTCGTCTCACAAATTAATCGTAATATATACAATTAATTATTTTTTAATCTATATTTAATACTCTATGCATATGTCAAACATGATATGAAGTAAATTTTAGATATAGAAATTAATTATTTTTAATCATTTTTTTTTTAATACTAACAACTCCACGGTATGTCAAACATGATATGAAGTAAATTTTAGAAGGAGAAATTAAATAAGGCCGCACCCAACCAAACACACCGTACGTGTGCCTGCAGCTCTGCTGTGTGCCTGTGTCTCTTATATGGCTAAATAAATAAGCTGCACGCAACCAAACACACCGTACGTGTGCCTGCAGCTCTGCTGTGTGCCTGTGTCTCTTATATGAAGCTCAGCACTCTCAAGGCGGCCACGTGTCACTCTCAGACAGCTACTTCCTGTCTTCCTCGGGTATGCAAGTACCAGTGTTACTACGTGATTGGCCCACGTGGATCAATAATCTCGTGTCCGAAAGGATCATACTGTACAGTAGTTACTTGCTCGGTCCATGACAAGTGCACTTTGTCCGGTTCCCTTACGTAATGCGTCTTTTTCAGCTTTTTTTTTTGGTTGAAATAGTATTTCGGTTTGTTTTTTCAGCGAAAAGCGAGTAGAGCGTTATAGTTCAAATTTTTCTTTTAAAATAAGTGCACTTCTACTATCTTTTTCTACTTTCTCTCTTTCTAACTATTACATCTTTATAGGGTATTATGTAATTTCTCACTAACCTCGATCTCACTTTCTCTCTTAATACTATTACACCTTTATAGGGTATTATGTAATTTCTCGCTAACCTAGATCTCTTCATCAAAACTCTAGAAGTGTATTTATTTTGGAACGGAGGTAGTAATCTTGTTTGACAGCGTATGGTAGACACGTTAACGGATGTCTGGAGTAGCAATAAACAAGTGTACATTAAGAGATGCGATGGCATTCAAACATCAGGTGAGAATTCACTCAGGATTCAGACAATATACCATATCATATCATATAAAGAGGCATATACAGGGCATGAATTCACAGGGCATGAATTCATTTCTTACTTTTCCAGTTGTATATATACGTATGAACGTATTCATATTAACAATGTACATTTTGAAGGCTCTCCGGTCTCCACAGCTGGATCCAAAAAATTCTCAGAATATTAGGTAAGATCATGATCCTACTTATAAAAGTACAAAATAGCAATCAGCAAGTAGATAACCTAAGCACAACATTCTGAAAGAGATGGTTCGTGTGTCAGCCGGCCTTAGCTGTTCTTGTTTCCTTCCCACCATACTCCATATTTGTCCACATAATAGAATAAAAAATAAGCATAAGCTATTTGCCACGAAAACAACAAAAAGGAAAGCTGCAAACTTGTTACTTGTCATCCTCCCATGATGCACACTGTCCAGACTCCAGATATACAGAGCAGAGAGCACTCTGGTAGAATCAGACAAGATTCAGGCAAGAAGAAAACACATGCCCATTTCAAGAATACGCCATGCAAAATTCAAAATGTCCCTTTGTCCTCAAACCATCAACTATTAATTACTGACTTTGACAGGGGGTTATGCATACAGAAGGTAACAAAATGCCTTTGTGCATCCCCAGCGAAGCAAGCAACTTCATCTAGCTTAGCTACCAAGTGGTGAAAACGGAGCACATTTTGTTGCAATCTCAGGTTCTCATGTCACGGTAGGGGCTACAAGACGACCCGACGAAGGGGGTGCAGGAAAGCTTGCGTCTGCAGCGATCACTGGTTGGTGATACCCACGAGCAGTGCTCCGCTCCAGCTGCTCCCACATGAGCCTCCGCCGCTCCTCAGTTGCAGCTCGCTTCTCCTCTTCCTCTTGGAAGTTGTTCTGGCAGGCTACAAGAAGCCTCTCATCCATTTCGCGGAACATTTGCCGCACATTCATTGTTACATTGAGGACAGATTGGTTCCAGTGCCAGCGGGTGTTCCGCTCCAGAGCTGGGTATATAATCGGTAGGATCACTTGACGGTTTTGGGAGATCATATCGAATAGGTGCTCGTTGTTCCATAGGAATAAGGCTCTCTCTGCAACCTGCAAAAGCCATGCCAAAGAAAAGCAGTGCTTGAGTTTCAAATGGTAACTCCTTTATGCAACAATACAACATGCAAGTGACATGAGCAAAGACAGTACAAACGCAAATGTCAGGCCGCTCACAACCCTACATTTATGTATCTTACTTAATCGACGAAGACAGATGAATACAATATGCTGTACAAACAAGGAAATAGGAGTCACTGTGTCCCATCCACATTAGTGCACAAAATCGATAGGCAGTACAGATTCAAAATCACAATTCCACCTAGCTGATTGTCAAGCCCCACAAAGTGCAAATGTCTGTATCTTCGATTTATTGAGGAAATTAAAGTATTTACAAGAACAGCAGATTTTGGCAATTGCCACACATTAACACCCCAAAGATTCCTATCAGTATCATCTGCCTTTGGACCATGGATTTATTTGTGACGTTAGACTTCAGAGTACACTGAGACCATTATGAGGCAGAATTAGAGAATTATAGAGCATTTCCAATTCTGTGGTAAAGCAAATGGCCTGAAGCCTCGTAAAGGAAGTGGCCACCAACTAAACTTAAGCCAATAACATAAGTGTGTGGTCTCACTTTAGCCAACAAGAAAAGATTTTAACCACTGATGAAATTCTTATCATTAATTAGTAAGCACTATGTCATAAAGACGCAGGGGACCATGTACAGGGACACTAATAAATCAGAAAAGCAAGGCGAAAAGGAAAGGGGTCAAACAGACTCTTCAATTAAAATAAGTGAAAGATTCATCTGGCAAACAACATTGCAACTATTACTTGATTAAAAAAATAAAAAAGCTTAAAGCTGTGCATCTAACCTTTATTAGAGAAGCTAATGATTACACGAGCATATATTCCTGTTAGTATTTCTTACCACGGCAACTGTTATGACCACAAGACCAGAACAAAATATGAAGAGTGAATCTCACCTGAAAATGAGAGCTATTCAGGCAACTAGCAATCTTCCGGAACAAGGGAACCATGCATTTCTGAAATTCAGCCATGTCAGTCAACTCCAGCACCTCCTCCAACTCCCCCAAAAACATCATTTCCTTCTGACTATTTGTAACTGGCCAATACTTTAACAGGCCTCTGATCACAGTCCCAGAAAGCTTCGGTTCCTTCTCAATAAATTGTGTGATGCAATATGTCAGCTGTGGCAGATACACTCCCACTGATTTCGGCTTATGAAGTGGTATCAATGCTTTCCATAAGAACAGCTTATGTTCCTCCTTCAATGGCTTGGCAAACCCACTTATTACACTGCCAAAGACCTCCAACAGCTCAGCGATCCCATTGTGATGATCTGTCTCGAACACAAACCTATAGAAGATATTGCTCACAGCCTTACGGATGAATGGTCGGTTTCCCATGAACTTGCCATATATCCTATGCAATATTGTCTTCAAGCAGTCCCTTTCTCTCGGGTCATCCGAATCAAACAGATCAAGCAGCTTGGAGACGAAAGGGCTATCCACATACTTCCTAGCCACCTTAGCATCGACGAGTGGTGAAGTCACAAACCTAAGGAGAAACTCATAAACGACTTGCAGGTGGTACCAGGACGGATCGAAGAAGGGCTCGTCCTCCTCGGTCTCCGAAGCCGAGGTGCCAGACCGGACTTTGGGCGGAAAGACCCTGAACAGGTTAGCGGCGAACATGCGCACGCACGCTGCTATCATTGTCTCCGTGAGAGGCTCCTCAGCGGCGCCAATGCAGTCGACCAGGGACATGAGCATCTGCCGCTTCCGCTCCTTCTCCGGCGAGTCCTTGCCCCGGTCGGAGAAGTCGTACACCGCGCAGCAAATGTTAACCTTCTGGACAAAGGCGTCCTCCCTGGACCTCACCTCGGCTCCGGCTCCGGCTCCGGCTCCGGCGCCAGCCGCGGGAGACGGAGGCGAGACGTTGGGCTTCGCCGTGGCCCCATTCTCCCGCGGCGAGGCCCCATTCTCCCGCGGCGACGATAGGGGCGGCGGCGGCTTCGCAGGCGGCGAGCCCGCGCCCCCGCCGCCAGAGCTGGATTTCATCGCCTTCCACGACAGCTTTCCAATAAATTGCTTCCACATGTCGGCGAGATCCGGCGGCACCAACAACACATCAAATCTCCCCCAATTAAAGGATCATTCCGACAGGCCCGGCCTCCTCTCGGCAACACGGACACGGGGGCGCGAATCCCCGGGCCTTAAAAGAGCGCGCTTGGCAACGGCGACGAGCGGCCGATCCTCCCGCAGCGACAGCAAGAGATCGCAAGGCGCGCTGCACCCGCCGGTACAGATCAACCACCGCCCCCCCGGTGAACGCACCGAGATGAGAGGGAATGCCACGCCGCGCCCAATAAAACCGGGCCGGGAGCGCGACGGCGGGGAGGAGGCCTGGCAGGGATCCGGCAATGGCGGGCTCAGCGCCAGATCCGGGGGCGGGAGGCGGCCATGGATGGGATCTCGGGAGGAGGGGAAAGGGCGTGGAGAAGTGAGGAAATTTTGGCGTTTTGAGGAGGGGTGATGGTGGGCTGGTGGCAGGGGAGGGCAGCCGCTGGCGGAGAGGGGAGGAGGCGAGAGGACACTCTCCGAGTAGAACGAGCGAGCGAGCTGCAGTGGTGCCCTGCAAGGACGATGGATCGCCCGCTCGGCGCGGTTGGAACGTCGGATAGGGCGTTTCGAGCTTCCTCAGCCGTCGAATCTCGGCCTTTTTTATGGCTGGGTGCTCTCCATCTTTCGCTCTGGAAAGGCATACGGGTACGAACTGCATGATGGTGATTGGATAATGGGAAATCAGTTGTAACGGCTGGGGAAATATCATTCAGTTGTTTCTTTTTTTAGCGACGGCACATGTTCAATTGCTAATTTCATAATGACCCGCCACCATTTTTATCATTTTATTTATTTCTTCTTTTTCTATTAACACGTAGGGCAGCTTCAATAAAGACGCTTCAGCTAGCTCATACAAATCCAAGTCAAGGAGAAAGATAAAAGAAAAAAGAGAAGAGAGAGAAAAAAAAAAAGACAAGAGGTCGCTAGGCTCTGACAGGTTACGAGGTATGACGCAGCGGCTAGATGCGAGCATGTCCTGATGGCGGTTGCTAGTGGAGGGGCCATTAGTGCTAATCATCTGATCCACATAGATTTTCAACATTTACTGCTCAATAAAGCACTATTGCTCTTAAGAAACAATCAAAATCACGGGTGGCCATGGCCCCCTTTGGTCTCAATGTTCCTCCGCCATGGCGGTTGGAGCACAAGCGGGTCCTGGTGGCTAGAGCACGAGCGAGTCCCGAAGCAAGCCACGATAGGGGGTGGTGACACTCGAAGCGAGACGTGGCGATATACGGAGTGAGCTCCACCGGCGACACCACAGCAATGTCTAGAGCGGCGGTGGGCAAGCGACGCCCGGGCGAGCAGGGGCTAGGTCAATGGCCACTTGCTACGACCTGGGGGTGCGAGCGAGGTGGTTGTTGTCATTAGACCAGGCGTGATCGAGGAGGAAGAAAGTGGGTGGGAAAAAGGAATATGTGGGACCTTTTGTAGGGTGTCTAAGTTTGTAGTATCGTTGGAGTATAAGTTAGTAAGTTGGCTCAATCGTTGGAGGTTCCCTTACGACTATAAAGATATGCACATTGCACACATACCAATGAAACGCCTGAGTTTCTAGACCCGCTTACACCTCCTAGATAACGGCCATGTTAGTTAGCTAAAATATGAGCATTCATCTAAGTCGAAGTTTTCCACGAACTCTGCTCTACATACTCCACCATGGAGCAGTTTCACCAAAAACCTGGAGTTTTTATAGCATCTCTTTAGATGCTCTCTCAACTCTACCTTTTTCCTGGAGCAAAGTTTTTGGAAATCTATTTGGCTAAAAAATATGGAGCGGACCAGTCCCAAATAGACCCTTAAACTCAAATGAACATTCCAAAGAAACCTGCCCGCCTTTCTGATCGACGTGCTTCACTCATTTTATATCGGATTTGTCATCAACTTTGCATGAGATGATGTTTGAGTTTGATTGTGAAGATATGAGCTACGTGTTGGCAAAAGGTTGAGTAGCAGATCTTAAAACGTCAAGATAGTAATGGGAAATTTCAAGTTCTATCATTGATGGAGTGATATTAGTTGTATTAGTTGGGTTATAATTGTGGTTCGAGCATTGCTAATTGTTACACTTTTGTTTTATTTCAAGCATCTAGGTGCATTCATGAAAGCAAATTTGGTGCTTCGTTTTAGTAATACCTCATCTTAGATGGACTGGCCCATTATGAGTTCATCCATCAATGTTAGTACAATGACTATATCCCCACATTTGTGTTACTCAATGTGGATACATAGCATGAGATGTGAAAGGTCCTTATTTGGTTTTGGTAATTAAGTGACAACCTAGATGGACTAATGTGTTTAAACACGAGATACACAGGTAATTAGTCCACAAGCATACTTGTGTGAGCAACCTATGCCATGAAGGTGAAGATGGCTTGAGATATTGCAAAGCTCACATATGAGATGAAGGAGCTCATTGCATATGTGACATGACATTGAGTCATGTGACTAAGGTAGAGAAGATCAAGACAAGACTTGGCTTGATGGACCGGTTGCAAATGTGAAGGGCAGGTTGAGTGATGACTTGGGGGCCAATGGACCGAAGCAACGGTAAAGAGCAAGTGAAGTCAAGATCGATGAACCAATACGGTCATGTGATGGTATGAAGTGGATCATATCATTTGTGATTGGTTGCTGCATGTGTTGCATAAACATTGGAGGAGATGGAATGGAATACGCAAGGCAAATATATATTTGTAGGGCATTTCATTTCACCGGTCTATGGTTGAGTAGAGAAAAAATAGACTGGATTTAGGATAGATAGCCATACTATAAAGAGGGAAAATCTTTTAGTTACATAGTGCCACTAAGTGTGAGTCTCACTTGCATATGCATTGTGCTTAGTGACGTGGTGAGGTGCAAGAGAAAAGTCTTTCAAAATGTTTGAATGAAAAGTGCTAACATGAAAGAAACACTTGTCACAACACTTGCACATGTTGATCTTGGGGGTTATCCTTTGTTGGGATGGATAGCCCTCCGGATAAGCTTTTCGGAATGTCCAAGATCATCGAGATCGGAGTTTGGAGATAAAAGTTATGGGCGTTTTAGTTTTCTTGGTGAATTCTGAGAGCCCATACCGAAGGTCCGGAAGATATTTGGTTTTATAATTGCTCCAAGATGAGAGCTTATACCTGAGGTCCGGTCGCCAAAGTCGGAGGTCCGGTTTTCGCTCTAAAAATGTTTTTTCAGGATCTGATACTGGAGGTCCGGTTGCCAAACCGGAGGTCCGATTTTCGCCCTAAAATTGATTTATTCTCAGAAGATGAGAACCTCAACTGGAGGTCTGGTTGAAACCGGAGGTCCAATTCTGCGTTGTTTCAGGGCTGGAAACCAGAGCTCTCGATTTGGACCGGAGGTCCAGTTCTGGGCGTTTCAGCACTAACGGTCATATTCGAAAAGAGCCGTTGGAGTGGCATGGGAGTGCACTTGGGCCACACCCTTGGGTGGCTGGCTGGCTTGTGGATAAGGGGGGTCCCCCCTCCTTGTCCCATACCCCTTGGCTCATTTGTTGAGTTTGGGGAACCAAGTTCTAGGGTTGATCCTCTCTCTCTCTCTCTCTCTCTCTCTCTCTCTCCCATGGTTTGTGCCAAAATTCCTATGAGAGATTGAGTGCCCTTTTGTGGGTGTGGATGAGATATTGAAGATCCACCTCCTCCCCTTCCTCTCCCTCTTAAGCTTGGTGCTAATTTGAGTGAGGGATTGAGAGACCTAGTAAGTGCATTTGAGGATTGCTTTTGGTGGCACTAGAAAATCTTTGTGATTGTGGATTTCTTGTTACTCTTGATGATTACCATCACCTAAACGGCTTGGTGGATTATGGTATCCGTTGTGAAGCCCGCGTGAAGATTGTGCGTGGCTCCGGAGAAGGATTTGTGAGGGGTGTTGTGCTCGTCCCACGGGAGCCGTGAAGAGCAACTCTAGTAGGGCGTGTCATTGAGCTACCCTCACATTTGGGGTCGGTTCTTGCAGTGCCCAATGTGTGGGTTAGGTTTGTGAAACACCTATTAGCCGCCGAACCACCAAGTGAGCGGTCGACACAACGGGGACTAGCGTGTTGGCAAACACATAAACCTCGGGACAAAAATCACCATGTCAACACTATTCTTCCCGTTGGTTTGCATTTCCCATACACAAGCTTGTATTTACTTTCATATATAGGTCCTGTTCGCTTCTCTTATAATCCGTCTTTTTCAGTCAGAACAGTGTTTTTCTCTCATAACAAATCAGCCGGAACAACGTTTTGGTTTGTTTTTTCAGCGAAGCGAACGGGGCCATATTGTGCTTGTGTAGTTGCTCTTGTAATTAGTTAGCTTGTATAACTTGCTAGTTACCTTCTTGCTTGTGTAGTTTAGAAGTAGCTCTCTTACGTTTCTAATTTGGCTTGAGTAGCCTTGTTAGTTACATTGTTTAGTTTGTGTAGCTAAGTAATTTGAGCTCTCTAATTTGGCTTGTGTAGCCTTGTTATTGAGTATCACTAGTGAGCTTAGGAGCTTTGTGATTTTGCTTACTAGTTTGTGTAGGAGCTCCTCCGGTTGCCAAAGTACTAGTTGCGTATATTTGTGTGACCTTGTTACTAGAATTGTTTAGGTGAGCTCTAGCTAGCCCGACGTCTTTGTTGCCTAATTAGGATCTTTTTAAGGTGTTTAAGAACTTAGATAGAGAGGTGTAGTCTTGGCTAGACCGATAATTTTATTTCCGCATTTGTTTCGGTTAGCCGGCACAATTAACTTTAAAAAAGACTATTCATCCTCTCTCTAGTCCGCCATCTCGACCCTACAAGATGGTGATTGATCAACGCATTACATCCTCTAAACAAAACAATAATGCAACATGTAAGAAGACCATGGACAACAAACGAACCCCTCGCCTCCAATTCCTCGAACTAAAATATCGAAAGTAGTTCATCACTTCTATTTCCTCACAAGATATACTTTGTCAAAATACGCACCATATTTTAATATATATAGGACTTTTTC